GACCTTTCATGGGTAAGTTTCTTGTTGTCTACTTTGATGATATCCTCATCTATAGTAAAACTAAGGAGCAACACCTTGACCACCTCACGCAAGTTTGCTCTACCCTTCGTGCAACTAATCTATATGCGAATGTCAAGAAGTGCTCCTTCTTCACCGACACAGTCGTTTTTCTTGGTTCATTGTCTCTTCGACAGGGGTGTCCGCTGACCCTGCTAAGGTTCAGGCGATCATTGACTGGCCTGAGTCCAAAGTTATTCATGACGTCAGGAGCTTTCACGGCTTAGCTACGTTTTACCGTCGCTTTATTAAGGGGTTTAGCACTATTATAGCGCCCATTACGGAGTGCATGAAGAAAGGGGAGTTTCATTGGACACGAGAGGCGGCTAAGGCCTTTAAGTTAGTCAAAAAGCGAATGATGGAGGCCCCTGTCATGCGTCTTCCCGATTTTTCCAAAGTCTTTGAATTTGAATGTGACGCCTCCGGGGTAGGCATAGGCGGAGTTTTAAGTCAGGATCGTCACCCTGTTGCCTATTTCAGTGAGAAGTTAAATGAGGCCAAACAGCGGTACTCAACTTATGATAAGGAACTGTATGCAGTGGTCCAGGCTTTGGGCTATTGGCGCCACTATTTGTTATCCCAGGAATTTGTCCTTTATTCGGATCACGAGGCCCTCCGTTACCTCAACTCCCAGAAAAGATTAAGTTCTAGGCATGGTCGTTGGGTCGAATATTTACAGGCCTATTCATTTGTTTTAAAACACAAGAAGGGCATAGAGAACCAAGCAGCTGATGCGTTAAGTCGTCGTGTCTCCCTTTTGTCGATCATGAGTGTCAAGGTCATCGGTTTTAAAAGACTTAAGGAGGATTACGAGGCGTGTCCTGATTTTAAAGATATCTTTCTCGATTTACAAAGAGGACAATCAAGCGCCACAGATGGCTTCCGACTTGAGGAGGGTTATCTCTTTAGAGCCAATAAATTGTGCATCCCTTGAACTTCAGTGCGAGATTTCATCGTGTGGAAAATTCATGCGGGAGGGTTAGCCGATCATTTTGGACGTGATAAGACCATAGAGGAAGTTGAACGTCAATTCTATTGGCCTAACTTGAAGAAAGACGTGGCTAAAATTGTTAGTACTTGTAACACTTGTCAATTGAGTAAGCAGAAGAAGCAAAACACAGGTCTATACACCCCTCTCCCTGTCCCTAATTGTCCTTGACAAAATATTAGTATGGATTTTGTGTTAGGACTTCCACGCACCCCAAAGAAGCATGACTCCATTTTTGTGGTTGTCGATCGCTTCTCAAAGATGGCTCATTTTATCCCCTGTAGCAAGACGTCGGATGCGTCCAAGGTTGCCCTATTATTCTTTAATGAAATTGTCAAATTATATGAGCTTCCCAAGACCATCGTGTCTGATAGGGACGTTCATTTCACTAGCCATTTTTGGAGGACTTTGTGGCGCAAGATGGGTACCAAATTGAAATTTTCTACGGCCTACCACCCCCAAACTGATGGTCAAACTGAAGTAGTTAATTGAAACCTTGGTAACCTATTACGTTGTCTGGTCCGGGAAAACTTTCGAAATTGGGATTTGATCCTTTCTGTAGCTCAAATTGCGTACAATAGCTCTATAAATCGTTCACTAGGTATGAGTCCATTTGAAGCCGTTCATGGGTACAAGCCTAGGAAACCGTTAGATCTCATCCCTATATCCCCACAGGATAGAGTGTCAGTATCAGCCGAAACATTTACACAACATCTTCGCGACTTACATATTGAGATCAATAAACAACTTGAAGCTAGTAATGCAACATATAAACTCCAAGCTGATTTACACAAACGACATATTGAGTTTAACATTGGGGATTACGTTATGGTTCGCATTAGGCCAGAGCGGCGTCTACATGGACCCGCCTCTAAATTGCAAACTCGTAGTGCTGGTCCTTTTAAAATTTTAAAGCAGGTTGGTCCAAATGCATATATTGTTGACATTCCACCACACCTTGGTTACCACTCTACTTTCAATGTTGAGGACCTTGTAGCTTATAAAGGCCATTTCATTCCCTCAGATGATCATCTGTCTTCTCCTATTGTGGACCTTGACCCTGATTCTTTGACCCCTTCTAACCCACTACCACCTCTCACAGCACAAAAAAAAATTGATGTTATTTTAGATGAAGAAACTGTGTTCACTACTGATGGAGAGGTTCAGCGCTTCCTTGTTCGTTGGGTTGGTCGACCAGATTGTGACTGTGCATGGATCTCCAGGGAGACACTACAGCAATTGGACCCAGATTTGTTAGAGTTTTATCGAAGTCAGCAGGATCTTCATCGGCCCAGATCGCCTCCCGTCCACCCGAGAGGAGTTGGTGAGGACACCAGGTTCAGGCCGCCACTGACGCATTTCTACAGACGCCGGAAGAAGCTTGCCCAGCCACTCAGCCTATGGTTGGGAGATTGACGGATACCTATGGTGATATAGCCACTTGACAGGGTCGAGTTTTCTCTCCCACCTCGGGAGAATTGATGAGGACATCCAGTTTTAATTATTTTAGTAGTTTTAATTATTCTAGTTGGATTTAGGTTATTTTAATTTTATGGACTTGTGTATTGGGCTTGGCCCAAGGTTTGCAGTATTTTCTAGTATTTAAACCTATTTTACATTGTTATTTTCAGTTGATGAATTTGATTAAATAAAAGAGTTCGCTTGCAGCCGTTTTTCCCCTCTTCCCCTCTTTCCCCGCCTCTGTCTTCTTCTTCTCTTCCCTTCCCCCATCTCTTCTGTTATACTTACTAAGTTATTATTCCCCTACATCATACGTTGCATTGCTTTTGCAATGAACCAAAACACTTTACTGCAGTGTTTTTTATAAAACAATACATAGTTCACAGAAAAACTTTAACATAGTAATGAAATAATAAGCAATAGTTCAATACAGTAACTTTTTAATTAAAAATTAAATAAATCAACGAAAGCAAAAAAGCAAACCATGAAATCAGATTTAGGATGTAAAGGGAGAAGTCACATTACTTTATAACCTCAAGGAGTTAGAACTTTCCCCAAAAAAAAAAAAAAAAAAAAAAAAAAAAAAAAAACATAAAAAAAAATCCAAAAAAAAAAAAAAAAAAAAAAAAAAAAAAGATACGCCTTGATATACTTGTACAACAAAGTTGTCATACAACTATATCATAATTGATAATACAAAACATTTACAGCAACAGTCATAATATGATACGTGTCAAAATTTCGAATGGTACTTTTGCTAACCCATTTTGCCTTCTAAAATTTGACTCGAGAGTGCCACATAAATGGTGATGATAACTAGCTTAAGAACATTGTCGACACATCCAGTAGCAAATCCGATATTCGAGTTAAGAAAGCAGATGAAAATTTTCAATTATGACACACCAAGCATGTTCGTACTTAGTTGCACTCTGTTTAAATTCAAATTCTGCTACTCAACAGATTTAGAATCAGCTGCATGAATTATTTTTCACCAATTTGTTCAACTAAACCCTAAGTCCATGAACAGATCTAATGAAATCAAATCATTAAAAACAATGTCAAATTATATTATTTTGGTCTGTCCTCCCTCCTAACATGTTTATTGAGATCATTTGAGTGAACAAGGACATTTTTATATCTACACGAGACATGCCACAACCACATAATTCGTCCTCCCCTTAATTTATTCTCAATTTGTGTCACGTTCACATACGAACATATATTATCATTTCTTGTTTAATCCATTCTATTCGTCATTCATCGTTTTACATACTCATACTGGTCTAGTACCATTTACTAGAACCTGTCTTCTAACTAAATAGGTATTTTACAAGAAAATAAGATTCTCAAACACTTCCTTTCATTCAAGCTGCTCTAGTTATACGCATTAAATACTTTCATCTTTGTCACCTAAAGATCCTAAATGATTAAAACAATCAATTTTTGGATACAATATGATTCTCTATGGTGACTCGCTATAACAGCAAGGACAATCAATGTATAATGTTTTAATTCTAGCAAAGAAACTTCTAAATCCAAACAGCTTGTCTAAAATTTTAACATGCACTATATTCTCCACGTAGCTTCGTCAATTAAAACTATGTCATTAACAAGTAACAGGCAGGAAGAGACATTATCTAGAGCATGTATCAAAAGTTCATTCACCACGAAATAACCTTGATACAAACATGTAGTAATCAGAAAGTTTCTACTACTCCAGCCACTAAGCTTTACTGCCAACATTTATATTTTACTAATATCAATATATCTAAAACAAATTCTTTTCCCCAACATCTCCAAGACTACAACAACACTTCCTTGGACACCACACAATATTGTTTTTTATTATTACTGAAAACAAAATGCAAATTTCTCTCTCTCTCTCTCTCTTTTTATTTTTCAGTCAATATCTTCATATGTAAATGGATTCTACAGTAATCTTCCTAAAAGATAGCTTTGAACCAATAGTTATTCTCATCTACATTGTCATTATAACCTACGTCATTCCTAAGACTAGGATAATTAACATTTCTATCAAAAATAAAGAGTGACAAACCATCCACACTATACATTCCATTAAATAATCTAAGATAAATTCCTTCATCTTTTAGTGATCTCATCTATATAAAACAGAACTCGCTCATTTTCATCTTCAATACACTTCACTTGATTTAGATCTCTATTTCCGTCCTTCCTCTGCTAAGATATCTGGGAAAACCTTTCCATGCATCCTAGTTCTTAAATATTTGTAAAATTTCTCTCATTAAACTTCTAGATCTCTCGGATACACACTCAATCCACGTTGAAGCACAAAAATGCAAAACACGAACTACTTGAGGAGAGTATCAGCCAATGGGAAAATAAAACAATATCCACCATCTAAAAGTCTACTGGCATACAGCCTATCTGAACCTTCAAATATTTGTACCACCGAAACTAAAATATAAACATCGCAAAAGTCAATGCCATCAAAGTAAACCGGTATTCACATAACCTGTGGTTTCCGATGCCAAAGAAATCCGTTATTTACATTCCTTTGCTCTTTCCCCATATCCTCGTCCTCAGGAATGGCATCAAGCATCCCCTGCCTCGAAATCTTTCGCTTTGGACTGATCAGAATCATCTTTGTTAATATAACAGGCATTCCCGAGCAACAACCTGCTACATAAACCTCCAAAGATGGAGAAGAAACTCCAAGTTTAGGCTGAAAAAATGCTGAACGCGAACGACCATTTGCCATGGAGGTCGCCGCATAGCAATCGATGCTCCAACCAGTCCTCGAGTCATTTTCCGGAGCACTCCCATTACCCCATGCGGCAGCATCAACCCGCTCCAGAGAGCCGCACAGGATCAACTCCTCCACGTTTTCACATACTTCAAATTCCGTCGGACCCGACAACCGGACACTATCGGTGCTGACGTATGTAACCTCTGAAGAGTCCTTATCCACACGATCCCGCCGGAGGGCAATCGAAGCGGTGTCCGAGGACGGCACGCGGGCGCCATTAATCTCCAACAAAACGCCGATCTCACGGCGGAGGTGGCGGAGCGTTAGGTGGTCAGGGACGGAATCCACAGCGCACGGCGCGATTCGCACATAGAATAACCGAATTTCCAAACAACCCCCCGTGAAATTCAAGGGTTTGTAAATTGTCAAAGATAATTCATCCCTCTTCTTATCCATTACAATACCCTAAATTCCTATGATTTGGATACCGTATTGAGGGAAATTATCGTTTAAATGTTGGAGAATTTACTTTTCAGGAGCATTTTGAATTGGAATATTAGAGTTTCGTGTTAAATTGAGAGGAAATTTTCAATGGAGAAGGCGAATTGTCAGAAGGAAAAAGAGGCGAGAACTCGAGGACAAAATGACACTGTTCTGCACGTGTCAAATACGCAGGGTAAGAAACTAACTTGTCATAGATACATGTACTTGGGTTAAATTATCCATGAACATCAAACTTTATGTCCCATTATCCCCATACACAACTCAGACCATGCAGCCCCATGTACTAGTAATGTATTGCACCTTTGAACCAAATGAGGCTGGACCAAGATACCACAGGCTTGCAAGACTTTCCCTGCGTATTGATTCATTACCGACTAAACGGAAAATGCTTGCTTCTATTCCCGAAAAGGCCTACTACAATCCTCAAGAAGCCTTTATCGACTTCTTTAGGACTCCTATTAATTTTCATTCCATCATATTTCAGTTTTCTATTTTATATTTTTAACTACACAATTTTTCATAAAATAATATTATACGTAAATCGAAAAATTTTCATTCTTTTTCAACCACTTATTTTTAAAAAAAAATATTTCACCCATTTTTATTATCACAAAATGGGGACCAAACGAGGGCTATATTTAATGTAATCATAACTATTTAATTTTATCTTATCATGATCATTTAATTTTATACTTAATATCATTATAGTCGGAGATTTTAATTTTGTTTCACCGTTACCATCTGATGCTACCAAAAATCGTACCTGCAGATTTTCCGAGCTTGATGACTGATGAGGAGCACGAACGTGATCTTCCAATACCTGAAACAAAGGCAACGAGGTGTGTTCTCGTCGCCCCTCCGATACTTAAGTCAGAAAGGGGAAATATATGCGTGAGGCTATGTGCTGAAGAACAATGAAAAAACGTACCTGAATAATGGTTCAAGGTTCTGTATTTATAGTAGTAAGTGACATTCTCCTAATTGGACTCAACTAGCTGGATGTCATCATCTGTTGGAGTCCTGAATAGTTAAGGAGTTGGTTGAATTCCAGAATTATACGTGAGATAGGATTCTTGCGGGAGTTAAGATTCCTAATTGCTTAGGAATTCTAAAGGGTTAACAACCGTCAGTAGTGAGGGGGGAGCACATTCCCGAGGACTATGCCCGAGGACATATGTTTGCAATATGCGAAGCAGCATGGGAGTTATGGTCGGGCATAGTGTCTCGAGGATGAACATGCTCGAGGACACCGCAGATGGATTCACAACTTTATCAAAAATAGTCCTCGGGATACACTGATCGGGGATATTGGAAAAATGTCACTATCATAGGCCCCCGTGCATATATGCTCGAGGATATGATGCAAAGAGACTAGAAATAAAAGCTCGAGTTTTAGCTCGGGGATTTCTGAACACCTGTGCTTGATCAGAAGGCTGACGTGTACTGACGTCAGCCCTAGAATAGGAAAAGGCGGTAAAAACTGTAGGGTTAAATGTAGGACACGTGTCCAGATCTAACGGTCGGGGTAGTGACCTTTGGGCTTCCTGTTCCTGTTGCCTATAAATACCCTTCCCTCATTTCATTTTTCACTTTTTACTCTCAGTAAACTTCTCTCGCTAATCGTCGGGATCGGACTTTGAGTTTTTAGGCGTCGACTTTAAGGTAAGACCTCGAGTTTTTAAGTTATTCTTTAGGTATTTTTTACCTAGGTCAGGATGTCTAGTAGTAGCAGTAGCGACACTTCGTCCTCATCATCCTCGAGGAGTAATCCCGAGTACATAGGATGCTCAATCATACCTATGGCTGTCCCAATTAATGCCCAACCTCGGGCACAAAGTATCCCGACCCCCTTTAGGTATCCCGAGGTCCCCTGTAAATTTAAAGAACATCTAGCCATATCGACGGCTAGGGAGCATGGGCTCATGCCCAAATGCGACGTTAGGACGCCAGGGGTAGAGGATAGGATGGCCTTTGCTCGGGATGGAGAGTTCGTGATCTTTAGGGACTCACTTAAGGGGGGATTTCGATGGCCTCTGCATCCCTTTTTTGTGGCCTTATTGGTCGAGCATAATATGAGCCCTGGACAGCTCATGCCAAATGGGTGGAGGATGCTTACCTATTTCTTTATAGCCTGTAGATACCTAGGAATCAACCTATACGTCGATCTCTGTAGGATGGTGTTCGACCTGAAACAGCTTCCTCAATATACTTGTTCTGCTTACCTTTCATCCCGATGAGGATTTAGATTACCGAGGATGCCCAGTTCTTTAAAAGGTTGGAAAGAAAAGTGGTTTTATGTCATACCTCAGGATAGCGACCTTCCTTTTAGCCCTAGGTGGGTTTTGCCCGACACTCCCCGATTTTGTGAAGGCCAGGCCTATTTTGAATCTTTAGAGAGGCATAGGGTAATGTTAGAGAACCTCGAGCCTCTTGTATATGATATAGATGACATCCTCGGGGATGACGTTCTCGATCTCGCGGATGTGAAAGGCACTGAGGGTAGGACCTTTTTGCCTTCCTCTTTACTGATCTGTCCTTGAACTTATAATTGTGCTCGTTCTAATGACTTGTTCTTTTTTTCAGAGATGACTTTTGATCCTTCAGCCCTTAGACAGGCCGTGACCAAGAAGTCAAAGGCCCCTCAAACTCGAGCTCCAGGGCAGAAGAGAGGAAAGAAGAGAGCTCGGGACACGGAGAATATCAGAAGTGGGCCTGGCGAAACTTCTGCCCGAGGACATACCCCGACCACACAGGCCACGGAGACTCCCACTGGTCCACCTCGGTCACATCCTCGGCCAAGGAGTACTCCCGAGGTTGTTGACCTCGAGGATGAGGTTCGACCTATGCCCTCTTTCCAAAACCAGGAGCCTGACTGGTGTCCTCTGGTGTCAAGCATCGTGGACAAGTACAGGAAGGACCTCGATTTTGATGAGGGCATGAAGGCTCTGGAATCCCTTACTCTGAAGGTAAGCTCGCCCATTCTACTTTGTTTAAAATACAAGGTTTAAAAAGGTTTAAACGCTGTGATTACTTAAGCTCGGGTTTATATGGTGTAGGCTCTGAGCATTGCCCGAGGCCTTTCTCTAAAGGGGAAAGATGAGGCCCAAAAAACCAC